AGCACCATGTGTATTATTCTTTGATGAATTGGATTCTATTGCACAATCTAGAGGATCAAATAACGGTGATTCTGGTGCAAGTGACCGTGTAATTAATCAATTATTAACTGAAATGGATGGAATGAGTTCTGCCAAAACAGTGTTTATTATTGGAGCAACAAACAGACCAGACATTATTGACCCTGCTTTAACGAGACCTGGAAGACTTGATCAATTAATCTATATCCCATTACCAGATCTTGAGGCACGTGTAGGAGTCTTACAAGCTAATTTGAGAAAATCACCTGTTGCACCAGATGTAAATCTTCGTGATATTGCTAATGCAACTGAAGGATTTTCTGGAGCTGACCTTACTGCTATTTGTCAAAGAGCTGTTAAACTTGCAATTAGAGAGTGTATTAAAAAAGAAATTGAAATTCAAGAAAGTGGACTTGATATAGTAGAAGATCCTGTTCCATTTATTACTAGAAAACACTTCGAAGAATCTATGATAACTGCTCGTCGATCTGTTTCTGATCAAGATGTTAGAAGATATGAGTCATTTGTTAATACACTAAAACAGTCAAGGGGATTAGTCAATTCAATTCCACAAGAACAGCCTAACCAAAGAAATAATTCAACTTCTCAACAACCTAATACAGCTCAAAATTTAGTGAGTGACTTACTAAGAGATGACCATAATCAAAATAATGGAAATGGTGAAGAAGATTACTAAAAAAAAAATAATTTTAATTCTTTTTTAAATAATATTCTTTATAATACTAAAGATATTAAAAAGAAATTAGATTAACAGTTTACAATTCTTGTGCTGTTGTTGAAGAATTTGAGAGACATTGTTGATGAACAAATTGACCAAGGTTGTCAATTGCACCATCTTTTAATAATAACTCACCATTTTGACTTTGCACAACCACCAATGGTTTATTACAAATAGAACATAGTAATGGTTGACTAGTATAAGAATTAGTTTTGCAAGGTGGTTGTTGATAATTATCTTCTTGTTGAATAAAGGATGGCTCATTCCAACTTTCTTCTGGTCTAGATGTTTGTAAACCCTCACATGCACTTAAAACTTGATGGTATTGTACATGACGTTCCATATCAACAAACCTTCCACCACAAATTGGACAAATCTCTCCAAGAGCGTGTTGGGGCTGACGTATTGTAGGTGTTGTTGTTTGATGAATGGCAGAAACAGGTTCTGTGATTACTGAATTTGTTTGTGAATACATTGGAGACATTTGAATCGGAACATCAACAGGAATAGAGGTTGGTGCTGGTGACATTATTTGAGCTGGAACTGATGTAGATACAGAAGGGCTTGTTATTGGGTGAAGTGTTTCTTTATAAGCTGGATCAGTAGAAGGAGGTAATGAAGAATTATCGCACATATCAATTGAAACATTTATTGGTGAACTAGGTTTTGATTGTTTTTTTGGTGTTCTTCTTGGAGTTGTTAAAGGAGAATTGTAATTGTATTGTTTTGGTTGTTTGTATCTTCTAACTGGAGTAAACGAAGCGTTTTGTAAAGGTTCTACTTGCGTGTTAACACTAATAGGAATAATTCCTTGTGAATCGTATGACACAGGAATAATAGTGGGTTGTGATTGTTGAGGTTGTGTAGATCTGACTTGAAAAGCAGGACTATTTCTGTAACCTTGAGAAATCATTGTTAATGAAGTTCTAATTTGGTTAAGAGTTTGAGCGGGAAACACATTTGTCCAAGTAAGATATAACTGCCATAAAGCTATTCTTATTGTTTCGTTTGCTGAGTTATATGTTTCAATGAAGATGCTAGTGATATTTGGAATAAAAAGATTAACATATATTCTATTAATGTCAATTTTTACTATCATATCAATGACATACAATAAACATAGTCTTTTTTCTGAATTTGTTGAATTCATATACTCTCTATATATTATTTCAACATATAAATCGGCATGAATAACATTTCCTACAGCCATCTGGGCTAACGATGTAATAATTCCTTGATCATTTTTTATTGACTCAATCACTTTTTTGAATTGACACAATGTTAGTTCATCGTTTGGAATAGGGATAGAGTTAACCGAATTCATTTTATTTAATATCAGTTTTTTTCTTATTTTTTTATTCTTCTTTTTGTTTTTGTTTTATCTATTTTGTTTTTTTTTTTAATAATATGAAATATAATTTTTTATTACAAGAATATTTCTTAAACATCAACTCCGATGACGCCATGCGAAAGTGTAAAAAAAGATCAACAATGAAAGGATTGTAACTTATCAGTAACAGGATACAATCATCTTGTTGTTTTTGTTGAAAGGACACAAGAATTTATATCAAATGTAATGTTGTAGAAAATCGTCAATTGTTGAAAAGAATGCAAACAAGATTGTTACATACTTTCAAAATGGACAGCAAGCCATTCACCCCAAGCCTTAAGAAGAATTCTTTTAGACAAGGAATAGACAAAAAAGTGATAAACGTCAAACTAATTTACTCTAAGAATTATTTGTTACTCTTACGTGAAGTTTGTTTATTAGAGACATATCTTTTTAACAAATCATTTACTTAGTTCTTAGGGAAATAGAGGACTTCCAGACAACTTTGATACAGACAAAGTTGAGGAATTATTTTCAATTCAAAACGAACTTCAGCAACAAGCGGCTATACAACCAGAACCTTTTGTTGAACAAGACTGTGGATGTCTTGATGATACAAAAAGAAAACAAGCTAGACAAAAACAAATTACATTTGGTAAAGGAACTGTTGAATATCAAAACTATAATGCTATAATTCCAAAGAACCAAAGGAGAACTACTGACCCCAAAACACCTGACATTGAATGTAATGTTTCAAAAAGAAAATGGGATCAAATTGTTAGAAGATGGAGAAGGGCTCTTCATGCTTTTGATAACGTTCATCATGAAAACCAAGTTGAATTGGCACGAGCCTTAGCTCTTCGGTTAGAAAATGAACATGACCCTAAAAGAAAAGCTTTTATTCAACAAGCCTCTTGTCTCTCATCATCTCTCTTAAAAGATGAACAATAAATAAATTCTTAATTTAGATAAAAAGAGATTAGTTACTTTGTTAATGAATAAATGGAATTCCAACAACAGTTCTTTGTTTGTATTGAAGATAGTCATCTCCAAATAATTTTATTAGATATTTTTCTTCATAAGGAATTCTCTTATAAAAGAAGTACCAAGAAGCAATAGAATAAAGAATTGTTGATAATGGGTTTAACATAACTATTTGAGTTGTGACACTCCACCAAAACCACCCAAAATATGATGGATGTCTCAAATAATGATATATTCCATTCGTTACTAAGACATGGTCTTGACGATGTGACGTTTCGATGTAGTGATTAAAATTACTACCAGCAACATACATTGCAATAGTTCTGAATGACTGGAAAAATAATGCAACAAACGTAAATCCAATACTAATATTTATATGATTTTTAATACTTGGGAAATACCATTTTTCAACGTAATACTCTATAATCGATAATGCAAATGCACACATAAAAGGAGGTGAATGAAAGAGCATAAAATCATGTAAGGAAGATTGATAAGGGCGTGGATATACGGATGAAGTAAATTCAAAGAAATGATATAAAAACAATAAACACATAAACAAATGTATAGGCGTATCACCAAAAAATATTAATACAAAATTAAAGCCAAATGTTAGTCCAACAAACACTCCAGTAAGAACCAATAAGTCAATTCTTTGTGCTTAAAATTTTAAATATTTTTTTTAAGAAAAATAACTTAAATTAATACACAAACTCCAATTTTTCATGAATTAAAACTTTTAAGTTTAAATGGTATTAATACTTTTTTTTAGAAAACACGATTTATTGGATTTTAGTTATTTTCGCTTCAAATAACTTAAAAATAAACATTATTTTTCCTTAAATTAAATTTATTTTTAGAAAATAACTCAACATCATGAGCCTAAAGTATGATGCTTTGACAAAATCCTTGAAACGAAAGTCAATACACAGAACATTTACAATTATTTGGAAAGTCTCTCATATTCTTCTTGTGTAATTATACTTTTGTTTTTTAACAAAGCAAATAATTCGTCTTCAAGTACACCAAAGTTAGCATCGAAATACTGATATACTCTTTTGCCTTGATTACAAAATATATCTGTAAAGAAACACACTAAAGCAGCAATAAACCTAAAGACCATAAAAGTGATAATGATTATTACAAAGACATAAACTATAGTTAAATAGAAAGGAACTAAAGGAAACACTGTTCTGTATAAATACTGTAAAGATAAAGGGTTTACTGTTAGAGTAGTTAATGCGTTTAATTGTTGGCCAATACATATTTGAACAGTCTGCTCTTCATTTAAATCAAGAAATACTTTCAAGGCATTCTCCTCATTAGAAATTAAATAATTTCCATTTAACTCTGGTTTAAATGATACAGTTGGGTTTTGAATTGAGGGATATGTTAAAGTAGTTAATCCCTTTGAAGCAGCAACTGTTTCAGAGACCAGGCACTTCTTAGAGAAGGTAAATACAATAAAGTAGAAAAGTAGTGTCATAAGGAAAGAAGTACGAACTGGAATTAAATAAAACTTAAAATTACAATAAATATGGCACATATTGTTGACCAATTTCAAAAAATCCCAACTGGATCAGAAGCAGTTGATAGAAAAAACACATGGAGGACTCGAGTTGACAATAATCTAGTTATTAGTAATAGAAGAGGAAAAAAATCTAATGGTGATGAACCAACAGGAGAAGCTGAGTCATTGTTTGGAAAAATTACTAAAGAAATGATGGGAGACCATGCACAAAGGACTGACCCAAAAGAGATATTAAAGAATTTAAAAGAATATAGAAAGGATATTGATGAAGAACTAAAGAAACCATACATTCCTAAAAGAAATAAAAAGGTTTATGACTTAGATGAAATTGGAGGGTACGTCCCTACTACTAAAGCTACTAAAGAAGAACACGCTAAGTTGTTATCTGTTGTTCAACACATATTCAGTGATAAATCATTCCAATTTATTCGTTCAGCAACATTAGATGTATTAGATATACTTAAGAGTGATATTACAGCAAATGAAAAGTATCAGAAATTGAAAGAAGAAATTAGTCAAGGAATTAAAGAAGATGAGTTTACAGAAATGCTTCAAATTGCAGATAATATCACTGACTACATCAAAACAGACAACCCTGAAGAAGTAGAAGATGAAAACAATAATGAAGGAGAAGATGAGGTTATTCCAATTTTAAATGATTCAGAAGAAGAAGGACTAGGGTATAGTGATGATGAAATTAAAGAAGAACAAGAACAGGATGAGGAAATAAATTTTCAGACAAACAACTCCATGTCAATGGAAGAAGAAACAAAAAATAATCAATTTGATAATATAGATGCATTTTGGTTACAAAGGATTATTAAAGGGATTGTTGAAGATGATAATACCGCCCAAGAGTATGCAATGAAAGTTGAACAAGTTCTTGGAAATACTTCACTTGATGATGGAAGTGTTGAACATATAATTATGTCATTATTAGGTCAACAAAATTTTGGTATTGTTGATATGTTAGCAAAAAATAGAGAAGAAATAATTGGAAGAATTGCCATTGCTAGAGCGCCTAATGAGGAAATTAAGGAAGCTATTAGAGAGAAACTCCCTTCACAAATAAAACTTTCAATGAAACAAAAACAAGGAATACAAAAAATTGAAGAAGAGAAAAAAACACAACACACAATGAAGACTTTAGATTTAAATGCATTAATGTTTGAAGGTGGAAATCATTTTATTTCTAATCAACAAGCAACATTCCCAGAAAATACTGTAAGAATTGATTTACCTGATTATACTCAAGTTGATATTCCTTTTGTTAGTCAACAACTTCCACCTACTAATTTAATACCAATTTCTAGTTTACCTGAGTGGGCCCAAAAATCATTAATGCCATTAAAATATTTAAATAGAATGCAATCAACAATTTATCCTACAGTTTTTGAAACTGATGATAATGTTTTAGTTTGTGCACCAACAGGTGCTGGTAAAACAACAGTTGCACTTTTAACTATTCTTCATGAAGTTAAAAAAGCAAAACAAACTCATGAACAATTTAAAATCATTTATATTGCTCCAATGAAATCATTAGTACAAGAAATAGTTGGTACTTTACAAGGGAAGTTAGAGAACCTCGGTATGAAGGTAGCTGAAATGTCAGGAGATTCATCACTAACAAAGAAAGAACTAGAAGAAACTGATGTTATAGTAGCAACTCCAGAGAAGATTGATGTTATTACAAGAAAAATTGGAGGACTTGGAAGTGGATGCGGACATGGAATATTTGAATATTTAAAAGTAATGATTATTGATGAAGTTCATCTGTTACATGATACAAGAGGACCAGTGTTGGAAGCATTAGTAGCAAGAATAAAATTATTTATGGAGTCTAATTCAAAATATATTAGACTTGTTGGACTAAGTGCGACATTACCTAATTGTGGAGATGTAGGGATATTTCTTAATTGTAAGAAGGAAAATGTTTTTGTATTTGGAAGTGAATATAGACCAGTTCCATTACAACAAACATTTTTTGGGGTTGCAGATAAAAAACCATTAAAACAAGTTCAGATAATGAATAGACTAACATTTCAAAAGGTTAAAGAGTCAGCTGGAAAACAACAAGTATTAATTTTTGTTCATTCAAGAAAAGATACAATTGAAACAGCTAAATATATTAAAGAAATGGCATTACAAGAAAATTGTCTTCATACTTTTCTTCAGAATAGAAGAGCAAGTCAAGAAGTTTTATTGTCAGAAGCTAAGAAATTTGATAATGAAGAATTAAAAGAATTAATCGGAGTTGGTATTGGTATTCATCATGCTGGAATGAATAAAGAGGACAGAAGATTAATAGAAGATTTGTATGCTGACAATCATCTTCAAATACTTGTTTCTACTGCTACATTAGCATGGGGGGTTAATTTACCAGCACACACCGTCATTATTAAAGGAACACAAATATATTCACCACCTACAGGGCGTTGGGAAGAATTAAGTCCTATGGATGTTATGCAAATGATTGGAAGAGCTGGAAGACCACAATTTGATAAAGAAGGAACTGGTATTATTATAACTACACAAAGAGAAATGTTCTTTTATATGTCATTATTATCACAACAATTACCGATTGAATCACAATTTATTGGTTCATTAGTTGATAATTTAAATGCTGAAGTAGTAATAGGAAATGTCAAAAGTATTGATGATGGAATTAAGTGGTTAACAATGACATATTATTACATTTGTATCTTACGTTCCCCATTACTTTATGGATTACAACCAAATGACTTCACAAATGACCCTACTTTAGAGTCTAGAAGAAGAGATCTTATTCATTCAGCTGCATTATTATTACATGCCAATGGACTTGCTATTTATGATAAACGAAAAGGAACAATTAATGCTACTGAGTTAGGAAGAATATCATCATATTATTATTTAACAACAGAAACAATTAAATCAATGAATGAATCACTCAAGAAAGGGTCAAGTGAAATTGATTTAATGAATATCTTTTCTAAATCAAGTGAATTTAAATATGTTTCAATTAGAGAGACTGAAAAGATAGAACTTGAAACTTTATTAAATCAAGTACCTATTCCTATTAAATCAACTATAGAAGATCCATCATGTAAAATTAATGTATTGTTACAAGTTTATATTGGAAGACTAACACTTCCTGGATTTGTATTAGCTTCTGATACTATCTTTATTTCACAAAATGCCGCTCGTATATTTAGAGCATTATTTGAATTATTACTTATTAAAAGATGGGCAAGACCAGCACTTAAAGCATTAGAACTCTGTAAATCTGTAACAAGAAGGTTATTTAATAGTCAATGTCCATTGAGGCAAATACCAGGAGTCCCTAATGATATTTGTAAACGTTTAGAACGAATTGATTTTCCATTTGAGAGGTTAGTTAGTCTAACTTCAGTTCAATTAGGTGAATTGATTAGATTACCAACAAAAGGAAATGCATTATATAATATGGTTCATTCATTTCCTTTATTAAATATTTCAACTATATCTCAACCAATCAACAGAACTTTACTTAAAATTAAAGTTACTCTTGAACCAATGTTTAATTATGATTATAGAATTCATGGAACATCATTAGGATATTGGATTATTGTTTTAGATGGTAATGGAGATTATATATTATATTATCAATACTTCATCCTCAAACAAACTAAATCAAATCAAGTTCATTATCTCAATGCTTTTGTTCCTTTAATTGATCCATTACCATTTAATTATTTTGTATACTGTATTAGTGATTCCTATTTAAAATGTTCTACATCATCAGTAGTTTCATTGAGACATTTAGTGTTACCAACTAAAGTTTTATCACCAAGTGAATTATTAGGAATGGCATTATTACCAACACAAACATTCTACAAATCATTAAATATTGGTTATAAAATATTTTCATTTGATGTATTTAATTCACTTCAAACACAATTATATCAAGCCGTTGTTGAAACAAATAATTCGTTATATATTGCATCACATAGTGGATCAGGAAAAACAGTTATTGCAGAAATGGGTTTATTAAAACATATACAAGAGCATAATGAAAAAGGAGCTATTTATGTAATACCATTTGATGAAGAACGAGACTTATTATATTTGGAAATGAAAAACCAATCTATTTCAGTAGAAATGATGAAAACAGATAATAAAGATATTGAAGAACAATTAAAAAATGTACAAGTTATTCTTGCAAGTATTCATAATTTTGAAAAGTATCTTAGAGATTGGAAACGAAATGAAAATACAATTAAGTCTATTGGAATTATTATTCTTGATGACTTACAAAGAGTAGGAGAGGATGTTGAATATGAAATGTTAATATCAAGAATTAAAATTATTCAAAAAGAGTATCAAAATAATATTAGAATTATTGGATTATCATTACCTATTAATGATAGTAAATCAATGAGAGAATGGTTGGGTATCACACAAAATAATTGTTATTCATTCTCAATGAAAGCTAGAGTTTATCCAATTAATGTTCAAATAGAAATTATGAAACAAACTGAATATTCAATGAGACTTCAAGCAATGATTCAACCAACTATTGAATTACTTTTTAGTTATTGCAAACAAAATAAAAAGAGTGTTATTACAGTTCCAAGTAAAAAACTATTATTAAATACAGTTCAACAATTTATTCTTTTATTACAAAAAAATAAGATAATAGAATTTAATAACCAAGGAAGAGTTGAACCAAAAAATGAAATTGAAGAAATAATTAAACAATATAAAATTAAAAATGAAATTGCCATTCAAGGTATTTATAGTGGAATTGGAATTATATTTAATGGAGAAGAAGAAGAAGAAAAAATAGTTATTAAAAATTTGTTTAGAGAAGGTATTATTAAAACAATATTTTTAACTTTTAATGAAATTGAATATTTTAGAGAACAAGCAGATGAAGGAATTATAATGGGAACAATTAAATCAGAGTCAAATGAAAAAGTTCTTGAATTAGAAATGATTCATAAATTTATAGGGTGTATTAAAAATGGAAATGTTATGATTTATTGTGAACCAAATAAAAAGGAATATCTTAGTAAATTTTTAGAAGAATCTCTTCCATTAGAAAGTAGGTTAATTCAAATGGGAAATGAAATGTATGATAATTTGATTCAATTCTTTAATACTGAAATTGTTAATCAAACAATTGTTGATTATCAAAGTGCTATCAATTTATTGACAAATACATTCTTTTATAGAAGAATAAGAAGTAATCCAAGTTATTATTTTGTTGAAGGAAGAGAGATGAGTATTATATCAAATTATTTGTCAGGTCTTGTTGAAACAGTTTTTGATAAATTAAATGAAATGAAATTTATTACTATTGATGAACAAACACAAACTGTTCAATCAACAGAAATTGGAACCTTAGCTGTAAATCAAATTAATGATTCAATGGAATTAGATTGATTGCTTTTTATGTATAAAATAATGAATTTAATTTAAAAGTTACTTTTTTTATTTGAAAAGGGTTTTTAATAAAACATTAAAAAAGAATTTCTTTTATTTTTTGATATGACTGATACACAACCAATTCAAAACCAAACAAATCTCACTGTCCTACAAAGAAGAAAACTTCGTATTTTAAATAATAACCAAGACAGACTTGGATTAATTACTGGTAAAATCGACAAAATTGAAGAAAAACCAATCACTGAAGAAGACGTTATTCATCAACAAAAACAAAATACTTCTATTCAACAAAATATAATTCAACAACAACCTTCTCAAACTGAAAATAAACAAGAAAGCCCTATTGCTCACAAATTAAAGAATATTGGTATTGCATTTTTAATCTTATTTATTGGAACATTTATTGCTCATTTTGCTGGTTATTCTTTATTACCATCAGAGTTTATAGAAGGATTCATTTGTTGTTTGTTTATGGTGGTTGCTGGAATTTTGTTATTAATAAGAAAATTGATTCAATTACTTCCTGCATTAGCTTCACCATCTTCTATTCCAGAACATAAAGAATAATTAATAACTTTATTTAAAATCTTTTTTTCTTAAGAAAGAACTTAAAATTTTAATTAAGTTGTTATGTTAAAATATATTGTTATTATTAATAGAACAGGTCAAACAAGATTATCAAGATTTTATGATGAATCACTTCAAAGAGATAAAACAAATTTATGTAACGAAATCTATCGTAAATGTATTACTGCATCAGAGCAAAGTGTTTGTTTTTTTTTTTAATGAAAAAAAAAAATTTATTTTATAGAATGTTGTGTATGAATGTCGTGACCATCGGTTTGTGATGAGAAGATTTGCTTCAATCTTTGTTATTGTTGGATTTGATGAAGAAGAAAATGAATTGGCGATTTATGAATTTATTCATTTTCTAGTTCAGATATATGACCTTTTATTTGATAATGCATGCGAGATTGATGTTTGTCTTTTTTATACTGATTTTTTTTGTTTAAATATAACAATAGTAATTACTAATAGATTATTTCACGAATTGATGATGCATTATGGGTCATTGACACAATTGTATGTGATGGGTTGATAATGAACACAAATAGAGAAGCAATATTAGAAGAATGTAATTACATGAAAGAAAAGAGTTCAATATATTCATTTAAATCTCAATTAATTTGAACTTTTTTTTTTAAATTCCTTTTTAGATTCTTTCATAAACAAGTTGAAAAAAAAACATGAAACTAAGAATTTACAGTTTATGCCTTTACTTACATTAAAAACTAACAGACATTCTTCTGTGTTATATGAATTTAAACCTAATGATATTATTAATACCATTAAGTCACAAATTAGTCCAAAAGGAATGAATAATTTTGATCGGATAATTCTTTATTTTCATGATAAACGCGTTGATGGTTCATTAACATTTTCACAAGCAAATATTTTTTCTGGATCAACACTTATTTATTTAATTAAAGGAGATGGGAAAACAATGGACGAAAGTGATATGATTATTGAAATGTTAGATTTAGGAATTCCTTATCATAAAGCAACTGTTGCTCTTTCAAAATCAAAGAATAACCTAAAGCAAGCAATTCGCTTAGCACAAGAAGTTTGCTAATTGCTTTATTATTTTATTTATATTTAATTCTTATTGTTAGGAAGATAGTAGTCTTGATGATTCTTCAGTTTTTAGTGATGATGAAAGTCTAAGTGAATTTATACCAACGCCTCATGTTGAACAAGTGACATCACAATTCGATTCATCTAATGATTATGCTGAAGAAGTTCTTTCTGAGAATTTTAAATCAAATGAAAGTGGATTAAATTGATTTTTGAAATACAAACCATTATTTTCAATTAGTTTCTATTTATTTTAGTCAAATTAACCAAAAACAAGTAATTGTTCTTTATCTGAAGCATTTACTCTAAAAGAACTTACAGCAATATCAGCATCAATATAAATGTTATCATCAAATTTATTTTCCATTTTTTGAAAGAATATAGATATATCATCTAATTCAAATCTATGTTTCATTATAATTTCTTTATGTTGAATTAATAATGATGCAGCAATAAAAAAATATAATTTATTTTCTGGATATGCAAAAATTGCATCCCATAATCTAACACAAGCTGTATGTGGAAAGTCTCTTCTAAATAATAATATAATCCATTTATACATAAAAGAATATGAAATACCAACCATTTTTAAATATCCATGAAAATCTGGATCTATAACTTTAATAATAGGACTCATATAAATATCTGTTTTTTCATTCTTTAAATATACTAAACTCATCATTTCCATTACTTTGATAAATAATCCAAATGTCTCATATTCTAGTTTACTATATTCCATTAGTCCAATTAAAATATCACTCATCCCTTGTTGATAACCTCCATCAAAATTATATAATGTCCAACATTTTAATAATCTTTCAACAATACTTTTAATTTCTTTTTTACTTAAATTCCAATTCTTAGAACATGCCGTTGAAATATGAGTTCTACCAATATCATTTTCAATTTGTTTCCAACAAGTTGATAATTTCTTATTTTGATTTACTTGAATATCCATAGTTAATGATACTTGTTTTGCTAATTTTGAATATTTTTCTTCTTCAAAATTATATCCAAGACATTTTTTCCATATATCACATCTACATTCTTCATTTGTCCCTCTATAAAATAATGCTTTTCTAACATTTGTTTGATTCATTTTATCCCATCGAGTTTCTTGTGTAATTTTTTCAGTACAGTCAGCACGAATTTGTTTAATCCAAGAATTTCTTTTTATTAATTGTTCATCATATTGTAATTGACTAATGTATTTTTCAACATCAACTTCATAAGGAATTCTTTTTTTTTCTGTTCTTATAAACCCATCATTCATTATTACATTGGCTGATTTTAGTACATCACAAAAAGAAATAAAAGAGTCTCGTTTGAAGATGATTGGATATAATTGAATATTCAATTGTCTACCAGGATGAAAACGAACTTCTGTTTCTGTTATTCGTTTAATTATATTATATGAGGGTGTGTCTTCAATGCAAAAATTAAAGTAATATAATGGACTTTTTTTCTTTTGTGGTGTTCCTCCAATTGCATCTGATTGAATAGCACTTTGAAATTGAAGATAAACATGCCCAGTTAAAGTATTAAGAGATAAACATCCTTCTATTATTTTAGAATTTACAATTATTTCAACAGTCTCTTTGAATTTGGTTTCGTTAATAAATGAATTAACAAGTATAGGGGGTTGGTTTGAACTCATTGTTAGGGAACTGGTACTCCGATTTAATAAAAGAGAGGATGAAGATTTGATAGGTGTTTGAGGTGTTGAGATGGGATTAGACATTTAAAATAACTAGATTATATAAAATAAAATAAAATCACGTTGTTATATTCAAAGAATTAAATTTTAAGGAATTATGATAAGAAAAATTATGAAAAGAAATGAAATTAAAAAAAAAGAACTTAAAATAATCATTTTGTGTTTTTAATAACAAATCATGTCTAATAAAGCAATTCTTCCTTCATTTACAGTTGGAGCACCATTACCAACACAAACAAGTTTACAAGTACCAGAAAACCAAATGCATTTTCTTGAAGTAAGTAGAGTAGAAATGTATACTAATGAAGAATATGAAAAATATTTACAACATAAAGAATGGACAAGATCAACAACAGATAATTTAATGGAATATGTAAAACAGTATGGAATGTGTTGGGAAGTAATTCATGATAGATTAGTTGTATATAATGAGTTTAGATTAACAGTTGATGCTGTTATTGAAAGATATTTACAAATTGTATTAAAGTTAGCACAAGTACGCTTTGTTGAAAAATATCCACCAAGTATGTTTATTCATCCATATGACTTCTTTCCATTTGACCGTAAATATGAAGAACAAAGAAAAGAAGATGGAATGAAAAATTTATTAGAACATGTTATAGATAATCCACAAGCAAAACTATTTCTTCCACCAAGTATATTAATAAAGAAAGAAGCAGAGTCAATAATGGATGATACAACTGGAAGTTATGCATTATTAGACTCATTACCTAGTGGGGTATATTCAAGATTTCAATTATTATCTGAGAAAACAGAATTATCTAAATTGGCGTCATATTTTGAAAAGGACACTTCATTAAATCTTTCATTATTAATTTATCCAGACGATGAATTTGCTAAAATATGTGAAAATATTAAAGATACATTTCATAAAATTGAAGAATATAAAAGAAGAATGGAACAAATTAAAAGAAAATCAGAATAATAAATTAATTAATTATTCTATTGTTCAAATCCAAGATAAAATGAATGAAAAAGAAATGTAAACACTTCTTCATCAAAAAGAATTATTGATGTTTTTTCAAAATTAAATAAATACTTTGAATCTTTCATATCTACTACTAAATATCTTTCATTTTTCTCTAATTCATTCAAAAAATGAGAATTTATAGTACAAATTGCTATCCATTGTTTTGAGTTACATTCATCAGGATTTGCATAAATATTTTGTTTAATTAAATGAAATTCAATAATATCATTTTCTTTACATTGTAATTTAGTTTGAATAATTTCTTTAATTTTTTGATCAGAATAATCTTCATTATTACATAAACAATTAATAAACCCCCAACACTCTTGATTAATAACTGGTTTATACCCCTTTTCAAAAATAATTTTATTTTGATTTTTCAAAATAACTCTAATAAAATCAGGATTATTGTGTTGAATTCTTTGATAAGACTCCCAAGTAATTGTATCATTTCTTTTTTTTAAAGTAGTAATATTAAATTGTAATACTTCTCCTTTTTTAATACATTGAGTTTCCATTTAAAATTAAATAAATATTGTCATTCAAAGTTTGTTATTTAATACATCAAACAAAAATTAAAAATAAATTTAAAATTAGGGTTCTAAAAATAGTTTTTGTACTGTTTTATATTTTAAAAATATTTCATTCTTCATCAATTTCTTTTTGCTGTATCTTTTTTTAGACTTACACAAAAACAGTACTAAAAATTATTAGTTCATGACGTCTTCCAAAGTTGATGTTGAACATGAATTTTATCCTTGTTGTCTTACTTGGACTACTATTCCAGTTATTTCGTTTGTTTTATTAAAAATAAAAAGATGAAGATGTATTAATAAAAAGAATTAATTCTCATGTATTAGATGGTTTTTTCCATTTATTGGACATACAGCAATATGTGATATGGAAGGCGTACACCACGATTATAGTTTTCCACATATTATACACTCAGGTAAACAAACTATTTTAGGAAGAACATTTAAGTTTGTTAGTCTAATGAAATTTTAAAAAAGAAGAAGAAACGAATATTTATTGTTTTAAGATATCTTCCAATTATTTATGGAGAAGGAATAAATGATAATGACTTTAAAGAGGCAATTGATAAAGCAGATAAAAAATGGAAACATATAATGCACAAATATATCATTGATAATTGTCATGATTATTGTGTAGATATTTTTAATAGTATAAAGTACAAAGGGAAATCAAATTGGAATGATTTTACATTGGTATTTGAAATATTTTTCCATTCAATTTATGTTAATAAAAAAAGACATCTTGCAACATATATTCCTTCATTATGTTTATGGACATTTATAATTCTTTGTGTAATCGGTTTCATTATAGTTTTACTGTATCAAAACCACATTTTTTAATTGTACTTTTCGTTTAACATTTAACTTTTTTTATTTAATATAATAATAATTTGTTTTCAATTGATTTATTATTTAAAGTTCTTTTAATGGACGACTTTTATAATGTTCTAATGGATATGGCTCTTTATGGTATGAATGGCTTGGAGTTTCAAATAAATTATACAATGATAATTTATCTATTGAGTAGAACGTATTTCTTCTTATAAATTTATTTATTCCTTTTTCATCACCATAACCAGATATTTCATTTGGTTTATGATCACTTCCCCTAAATACTAAAATAGTTGGCATGTTTCTAAATGTCATATTAACCATTACATCTTCTGTAGAAAGATCAACACTTCCAAATTGAATAGTTGTAACGTTTTCAAGAGCTTTTGCATTCTTTGAAAAACATGAAAAAGCACCATCTAAATCCCTATAGTAAACATACAAACAAATATCTTTGTCTTGGTTTATAAATCTGTCAAATGTCTCTGCTGTAAGTTCATTAATAAGAGGGTCTTGTTGAATGATTTTACTTGAACGTATTGTTGGTTTTATTTGATTATTCATCACTTGATCAACCCATTCACTAACACTTGTTTGATCCCAATTACCAAAATAGTCATATACAACTCGTTCATTGCTTGTAATAATTCTGATGTGATTAGGTTGTGGAAACATTCTTTGAATATTCTTTCCATAAATACTTTCTCCAAAGTTATTTGAACCTAATGCTACATAAAAACCAAGTAATTTTCCCCAATATTTTTCTAATGCATTTGCTAAAACAATTCCTTCTTTAAATTCTGTTGAATAAACAATAATATAATGTGCCTCATACAATTTCATTTGATTTTCTAATTCTGGTGAATATGTAGTATATGGATATGTTATATGTTGCATAAGATAGAATTTAAGATAATCTCCGACATCATCAATACTTAATGTTTTCTTTATGTATTTAGTTGGGTCAAATACTGACCTAACATAACTATCTATTTTCATAGCTTTTTCATATGACTTAATATAATACACAAACTTGACTCTTTCTGTAAAATATGGCTTTAATACTCGTTCCAAAAAATTAAAATTCATTTTAACAACTGTTTCATTACTAAATCGTACAACAATTAAAACATCATTCTCATATTGAAGGTCTTCAATATCATCTTCATCAGTTTTACTAAGCAGGTCTGACATACATCGTACAATCCAGCGTTGAAGAGCTGAAACCTTTTTTTGTCCATCAAAAGAGCTAAATAAAATACCTTCTCGATACAAATTGACAATAGGAAATTGGTTATAATTGCAATCATTATTACTACAATCTACATTGACTATTAGTAATTCTGGGTGATTTGTTTTCTCTTCTATTTCAAGTTGTTCCATTACGGGTTTTAACTCTTTACAATGCATACACCATGACACTGAATAAAATACAATAACATATTTATTGTTTTGAACTAACCCATCAACTTCATTTTGACTATAAACGCTAAGTGAAGTGGCTTGATAAAAAAGAATGGAGAGAATGAGTATAATCATCAATTTATTATTTTCAGATTCATTCACTTTTTCTCATTTTTAATAAAACATTTTTAATAACGAAAATAATATTTGTCTTTTGGTTGTGCTTTTTGTTGTTTAATGGAATTTTTCATATTCACATTAATCAAATACTACAAAAATATGAAAATAGTTTATTGCTATGATATTTACTTTGGATTAGCCAGGTTTTAGTAGATTGGGATTAGTTCATGACTGTGTTAGACTTATTTTGTTAAAGAGAATATTGAAACTAAATACAAAACCAAAAATGTTGTAAAAACCTACCAAATAAAATGGTCACAACAAGTAAGTTGTTATTCTGAAACTAGAACACTACTAAGTTAAGGTGGTGTTTCCATCTCAAAAACAAGAGTTAAGGTAATACCTAAGACAAATAGAATATAATTAACTATACATAAAATACTTCTCAATAAATAACTTGAATTATTTAGTTTATTATAAAGAAACCTCATTGGTTTACAGATAATAAACTAATAAAAAGTACTTTCTTTCCATTACTTATAGTACAATACACAATAATTTTATATTAGAATTAAGTAATTATGATAAACTTTCAGTATTAATATAGCTAGCTATAATAGTAATTGGTTTTCATCAAGTCTTATAAAAACTCTGAATAAAACCTAATGAAAAGAATTCTATAAACATTTATTTATGAATTTTATTGGTACTCTTCAAAAAAATAAATATAACTTTTATCACAATAAACAATTTAATTCTCTTAAGTATCAATTGGGCATAAAACTAAGATACTCTATAAAAAATTCGTACTTGAAATGATATAAAAATAACATGACTTATATGAAAATCATAAACCTTAAAAACATATAGACTTTATTCATCATATATGTATTTATGTTAATTCAATAATACAACTGTTCATCATTATTATAAAATTTGATTATTAGTGAAATACTGTGTTTTAATTAATGAGGTAATATAAAATATTCAAGCAATTCAGAACTATGACGATATAATGAACAATACAATGAAACTATAATAATTAATAAATAAAAAGAAATACTAAATAGACTTATGTTCATAATTAACATCAAAACACTAAAAATTGTATAAAATAATTAATGGTTTATTATTTTTTTTGAATAGGATATATTTAAATTCTTATATAGAACAAATAAAATACGAGCACATTAAATATGCAGAGATTTAATACTAAGTAAAAACCATCCTCAAAACGAATAAGACGATTGTTCCATTTTTCCAAATCTTTTTAGGAAAGGAAAATTAGGAACTTATAATTTATAATGGCTGATTCATTAATTCATCTACGTAACGCCTGGCAAGTTGATCAAGCAATTCTCGCTGAAGAAGAAAAGGTTGTGATCATACGATTTGGAAGAGACTATGACCCTGAATGTATGCAAATGGACCATCGATTAGCATCAATCCAAGAACAAATTTCAAGGATGGCTGTTATTTATGTTGTTTGTTCATTTTTGATTGTTGTAAATAACCAAATAATAAGAGTATTAGCGATACTTAATTTTTAGGTTGACATTGACCAAACTCCTGACTTTAATGTTATGTACGAATTATATGACCCAGTTACTGTAATGTTTTTTTACAGGAAGAAACACATCCAAGTAGATTTAGGAACAGGAAATAACAATAAAATTAATTTTGTTATTAATAATAAAGAAGACCTAATTACTATTATCGAGTGTGTCTATACCGGAGCAAGAAGAGGTCGTGGTATTGTATTTTCACCAAAAGACTTTTCAACAAAATACAACTATTAAAATACTTAAATTATATTTAACTGATTTTTATTTCTTTTTTTTATGACAGATATATCAAATTAAGTTCTGTGATATTAAACGGATTATAGATAAATCTTTTTCTTATTACCTTATAAGTTCGACTTGAGTTATTTATTATACCTTGTTGATTGAGACGTTTAGACTAAGTTCATTCTTTCAATAGGATAAACTCTTTAATCTACTTACAATGTTAATAATATTATATGCATTGTAAGTTGTGAATTTTGTTCGTCTTACAATTACTTTTTCCTTTATTCTCTTTTAAATACAATCCTTTGAATTAAGATTTGTGTGTAACCATTCTCTTTCTTTTTTAATGATTCTCTAATTTATAATTCTTTATTTTCTTTAAAATAATATTCAAAGTGTTGTTTTTATTTTAAGTCATATTTGATTCTGAGCATTGTTTTTATTTAATCAATCTTCTTTGTTCTTTATTTCATTCTAATTTAATTATGCTTATAAAACTTTTAAATAAAACCAATTGTTGATAATATAAAACCCCCTTATTAGTGAAGTAAATAAATATTACTTCTTTTTAGTCTAAGGTTTGTAAATAAATATTAAATAAGACTAAAGACATTAATCAGAATATAGATTATTACTCATTTTATTAAAAAGTATATTTTTTTCATTATATTGTTTATTCTATCGAAAAGAAATTTTATAAAAAGAATAGTACCAATAAATACTCTTAATACAGAAGGTTTATTTTAATAAAAGTTATTCAATAGAATAATCTTAAACAAAAAACATAAAAAGAAAGAGAATTAAAATTAATCTTTCAAATATTATTTTCTACATAAAAAATGAAATAATAAAACAAACAGAATAAATCTTCATTTAAATTCTATACACTAAATCGGTTTTAATTTTTTCCTTTTAAAAGAAGAAAATTTAATTTAAATAAAGAAAATAAAAAGAATTATAAATATGTACAATGACTCTTCTCAACAGAATCTGAATTTGTTTCTTTATTATCTATTAAAAGCCAGTCATAAGCAGCTTGAATAAAAATTGATATAATATCTATATTTTGATGTAAAAGTGATATTTCATAATACTTTGAGTTTAATTCTCTCACATATTTATAAATTTCACTTTGGTCAATATGTTTTGGTAAATCTGCCATAGTACCACAAACAATCCAAATAACTTTATATTTTAAATAGCTTTCAACTTCTTTTTGTAATTTTTTCATTGTATTAAATGACTCTTTATTCCCTAGAGAAAATACACATATGATAACATCAACCTTTGACTCCCCAGCTATCCACATAACTCCTCCAATTGTTAGACTATCAATAACATCAATATAAATCATGTTTTGATCTATATAAAATTTTCTTAAATAACGTTCACTTAACGTAGGGTCTTGAACCAAAACAATATTGTCATCTCCAAAACTTTTAGCAATTGATGATTTTCCAACTCCATATGCACCAATAAAACAACATACCATTCGTTTTATTTCTTCCATTTGATTTACCACCAAATTATTTTTATTAAGTTATTTTATTAATTCTTTTAAGTTATTTTAAAATAATAATCAGAATCAATATTCTTAATACCATCTTCAATGAGGAAACTGTAAAAATTCAAAACTAATAATACCCACTTGTCTCTCAAAACAATATAAATTAGTAAAAAGAAAGAATAAGTAACAATAATTAAAGGGTTTTTTCTAATTTTAAAATGAACCATTAAACAAAATATAAAAAAGATGTTGTTGAATAAATAAAAACACAGACAAAGGCTGTTCATTGATAAGGTCCCCATACTTCATCATCTAAAAATGAAAATGTATGTTTATTAAGAATATCATCTTCAGTTACATCAGTTAATGATGAATTATCATCATCATCTAATTGATGAATTAACTTTTCATAATTCTTTAATAAAGGTGAATCTACTTTCCTTATATCTTTAATATTTGGTCTTACAAGAACTTCATCATATCCTTCTTCATCATATCCTTCAGTTAAATATTCTGATGATGTAAATGATCCAAATGCCATTAATAATGATTGAATCAACGAACCAGTTGAATCATCAACAAAAATTTCTTTAAATGATCTTCTTGTTGATGGTTCTTTTTTAATTTCCATATATTTATTTGTTTGTTTTACTCTGTGAAGTCTTCTACTTTTTTTTGATTCAAGTGTTTCACTGTATTGAATTATTAATTGTCCACCATCCCAAAACTTTCCATTTTCATTTTTTAAAGCCAATCCTGCAGATTTTTCATCAGTAAATTTAACAAATGCATATGGTGGAAAATCAGCTCCTAAAAATGTAAATATTTAAAATAATTTCATATTGAATTTTCATTTGAAAACAATTTTAATAAATTGTTACTAATTAAAACTATTAATAAAATTCATCTTAAAGAGCTTGTTCTTTTTTATATTGAACAACTTTTGATATATCTCTTTTTTTACTAATACTTTATTATAAAAACAAACCTTTTCCAACAACAGTTACTTTCTCAACTAGTCCATAAACACTAAAATGATCATAAACACTTGTATCATTAGCATTACAATTTTGAAGTCCAGTAATATATAATGTCTTTTTGTCTAAATCTGAATCTCGTATTTGTGTCGATTTAGCCCATTCAATAATCCAATGATGTTCATTGATAATTTCTGGTACATTAGAAAAACATTTTTGTGCTTCAAGTGGTGTTTTAAAACTAACAAATGCACACCCTTTACTCTTTTTTGTCTCTCTATCACAAACCATTGTTACTTCTTCTACTTCTCCATATTGATTACATACTTTTTTTAATATTTCTTCTTTCATCATAGGTCCTAATCTTGCAAAGAATAGAGTAGCCATAGGTGCACTATTTTCTCGTTTACCATATCTATTTAACACTCCAGACATCCTCTGTCTTAGTTTTTAATATAATTTATTCTTAGTTTGCTTTTTTCTCAACTCTAATCCCCTATTATTCCTATATTTCCCGATATTTTCCCATTTTCTTCAGTTTCTGGTTTCTTTTTTTTTTCGTTTCATTGATTATTTTGTTTTTCTTTGTTTAAAGTCATCTTTTTTGATAAAAAAAGGCTTTTTTTTTCATTAATTTATATCTCTTTTTATTTTATTTATAAATATTTCTAAAATTTAAAATAACACAAAATAAATTATATTTTTATGTTATTTCAATGTAAATAAATTCTTGAGATGACAAGAAAGCATTTTTAGTCTTATTTTTTTGCCACACAATCTGAACATAATTTCTTTTGACCTCTTAACCCAAATTTTCCTCCAAGTTGTTTACCACAATTATCACATTTAAAGCACTTTAAATGGAATGATCCAATTTTAGTTTTAGCTATTCCTTTTGCTGGTAATGGTGCTCCACATGCTTTACATTTTTCTGCATTCTTTGAAGACTCTTTTGTTATATAATTAATTTTTTCTGTAGCTGGAATACCAACAACAGCACCAATTTTAATATTATTCTCTGATCTAAAAGAAAGAGTAAACTTAAATGGTAATTTACTCACACAACTTTGATGTGTTTCAACAATCATTTTATGATTTCCACTTCCTAACTTCATCTTTTTACCACATAAATTAGATGAAATAACAAAAGTCTCTCCAGAATCACCTCCAATTGGTTGTTCATTATCATCTATTCCCCACATTCTAAATGCAATTTTATTATCACAACGAGGTTGTGATATTGAAACAATACAGTCACCTTTTCCTTCAAAATTAATAGCCATTTGTTTATCAGTCATTTCAACATCAACACTATTGAAACATTCCCAATCTTTTTTATAAAATACAACAGTGAGTTCATCAAAGAATTTAACAAAATCACCAATTTCCATAAAGTAAATTCCATCATTTGCTTCAACAACTTCTAACTTCTTTTTCATTGATTCTGTCCAAGCAGGGTCATCGTCTCTCCATTTACCTTTCCACTCACAACATCCCCATGGATTTCTAATTTTCAATAATTTAATTCCATCTACTTCATAAGCTCCAATGAGTGTATATGCATGATTTTCTACTAATCCATATTCTTTTTCAAGATCAATACCAGGTGTATCAGGTACATTAGCAACCATACAATATTTCTTTTTATCATAATCTGCAATTTTTTTAAATAAACGATTAACATCTGTTTCTCTAGTAGATATACGTTTTACTGGCATTCCTGTTAAATCACTTAAAGCTAAGAATGGAATTCCTCCTTCAATTTCTCCATAACTACCAACAACTTTAGCGTATGCCTTCTCTAATAACATTACCCATAATTCATCTCCATTATTATGGCTAAAAAATGGTTGGCCATTATTACAAGGAATTAAATCATCAATAACAATATGTCTTTCTTTTCCCATATAGAAAAAAGTTATTTCATATTTTCCATTTCCACATGACTTGATCATAGTTTTAATTCTTTCAGGAAATTCTGATAAAGAAGCTAAAGCAGCCAAAAAGTAACAGTCTCCAAGACATCCTTGTTGAATGTCTAATGGCTCAATTCCATTTTCATATAATTGTGGATGTTCCATATATTCATTTGGTCTTAAAAATGTTAATGAAGATGGTAAAATACTATCAATTTTACCAATACTTCTTAGTTCAGCTGGAAATTCATCGTCAGTAAACATGAAGCTTATTTATATTTTTTAGTTTTTTGTTTTCATTTTATTATTCTATTTTTGGATATTCTTTTATTTTTATATTATTTTTAATTTGCTTAATATATTGTTTTATATAACAATAAAATTTTAAAATTTAAAACAAAATAAACAATAAAGTCATTTACACCTTCGTTTTGATAGCAAGAACAGTGTTACAAAGAGGACACTTATAGTGAATATCCTTTGAAAAGTCAAACACCAGTGGTATCCAGAAACAGAATACACATCCAATACAGAATAAAACTAGGGCTAAAACATATGCAAATATTCCACACTTGTACTCAACTATTGAATGAACTGTTTTGTTACAGGTCGAACAATACATTTCAATAGATTCAGTTGTACTTAAAATTGGTTGATTTTCACTGTATGACATAAACAAATTGATTTTTAAGATTTTTGAAGGTGAGAAAGTGGAAGTTAATGTTAATTTCCTTTTTTATTCATAAATAAAAACCACCTTAAAAACAATTTAATTATTTTTTTTTGTTATTTTTTAAACAAATTAAACGATGACTCAAATGTTAATTGATGGAAGTATTTAATAAGTATTTTACTTTTTTTTAATTTGAGCTACTCTATTGAAATTTACATTTAATAATTTGTTCTCATTTTATTTATAAATAACTTTTATTATTTAAGTTTGGATTTGAGCATTATACTGAGTATGGAGAGTATTTTTCTATTTACTATAATTAATGATAGTTAAAAGAAGAGGTACAGTATTTATTCGTCTCATTATAAAAACTAAAATTACATTGAGAAAAGTTGTGTTATTAGTTATAACTTATACATTAATGGATATTATATTACTTATTGTTAGGTATTAATCTATAGTTTTCGTTGTTTGGTTTTATGTGTGGATTTGATCTGGTTATATGATCCAAATAACAACACTTCATATTAGTGTTAAGGGGTGTATAGTTTGCTCATTTAAATATTTAGAAGGATGTTTTAGTCTTTATAAACAACTTGTAACTTATATTCTTCTTAAGAATTTTTTTGAAAAATTTGTGAGAATGATGTTCATTAGTCAATAATGCCAGAACATTTCCACATTTTTGAATAACTGACAATTGTTCAATTTGTTCCAACAGAAAGAAATATTTTGTTTGTGAATCTATAATTTAATTTGAAGGAAATTTGAACTAATTAAATATTATTTAAGACTTACTCCCTCCTCTAAAAAATTATTAATTGACTTTTTTGTTATTCAAGAATTAATGCAAAGCATAAAACAAATAATATTGTTTTTGTTATTGAACAAATCCTTTGATTCTTTTAATTAGAATCAAACAACACAGAAATAAAACATTCAAGGTGATGGAAATAATAATAAAATGTATAAGAAGAAATGAATAGGTACAAAAGAAATAATTAATAATTAAAAAGCAATTAATTAAGTATTAATA